GATGAACAACAACTAGCTCTGTGGGCATTGCCTGATGACGACCTTGTTCTGCTTGCTATTGTTGGTATTAAGGTAGTGCATCTATAAGTTTTATTTGCTTTTTAAATTTGAGTTCACATTTAGTTTGTTTAGCTTATGTACACAATAATGAAATGCAGGATCCTTGTCGGCCAGGGGTTAGAGATGCAGTGCGACTATGCCAAAAAGCTGGTGTTAAGGTATTATTTAGTGACATATCAATTCAATATTTGAAATTATCATGTGAATTTTTGTTCTTCATATGGAGGGGTGTTTATATAATTGGATGAAGAGTGTTTGGAAGGTTGGAGAAGACCAATAGGGTTCAGCTTTTTACAACTAAGTTCAACTGTGATTGTGCAACAATGGAAGGGCTACTTTCCTGTCATAGGGTTGTCTGATGCATCTTCATTTATTATACTATTTTATGTGGAATAATTTGTTTAGCCTCCCGCTTGTTCCCTTACTCCTAAAAACTTCATTAGTTTGATTATTACACTTGGGCAAAAGGAAGTCGTTTTCCACTAACTGTAAGATCATTACGTGAATGGTTTCATGATGTGCTTTATTTTTTGGTTTTATCTATGCAAGTGCTTTTTGAGGTGGGTGTTTGTGTCGATGTATATCCTGCCATGTTTCTTTCGTTTTTTGTTTTATTAAGAAATTTACTATTGTACTGTTCAAATATTGGTTGTGGTAGGATTTTCGTAATTATTTGCTGGGTATGCTTTTAAATATTCTTGTCAGAAAGTGAGCAGTTGGATATTTCTGGATGTGGTTTATTTTTGGTTTTATAAATGCAAGAGTTTTATGTGGTTGGTGCCTGTTCAATGTATATCCCACCATTGTTATGTTTTTGCTTTTTTTTTTTTTTAAATTCATTATTTTTTACGTATTGTTAATGGTAGGGTTTTCATAATTATTTTATGGGCATGCTTTTAAATATTTATTGTTAGAAAGTGAACGATTGGGTGTCGTATTTTTGAAGTTCTCCTTCCAACTTGATAAACATGTAGGTACGCATGGTTACGGGCGACAATGTTCAAACTGCAAAAGCAATTGCTTTGGAATGTGGCATACTTAATTCTGATTCAGATGCTACTGAGCCAACTCTCATCGAGGGAAAAGTTTTTCGTGACCTTTCTGATGGGCAGAGAGAAGAGTATGCTGAGAAGATTTCGGTATGAATACTTGTGTATCGTTCAGATAGTTCCTGGCGTGCACGCTTAAGAATTAAATATCATGGCAAATTTTTAGGAAGTTGAATCTTTTTTCTTTAACGTGCAGGTGATGGGGCGGTCTTCCCCCAATGACAAGCTTCTGCTTGTGCAAGCATTGAGGAGAAGGGGACATGTTGTTGCTGTTACTGGAGATGGCACTAATGATGCTCCTGCACTGCATGAGGTCTCTCAGATGTTTTTACTTGCTTTTTCTTTCTTTTTATTTTATTTATCAAAGCAGTTATTACGGTTACAATCACCGTAGTACTTTGTAGTTTATTCGTTCTTTTTTTCCTTTCTTAATTCATTGTTAATGTTTGATGTTATGTCTTAATGGTTTTTTTTTTGGAATCTTCCATATTTGAGTTCAGGCCGACATTGGTCTTGCTATGGGTATTCAAGGGACTGAAGTTGCCAAAGAGAGTTCAGATATCATCATATTGGATGATAATTTTGCTTCAGTTGTGAAGGTTAGGAATACTTTGCAACCAATGACATATACTAATTTTTGGGTTTTTGGGTTTTTTTTTCTTCTTCTGTTTATTACTATTTCCTTCTGTATTACTTCTACTCTCTCAAATGGCACTGTGTTAATTTTTCTAGCACGTCCCTCTCACCGTTTTAATGTTAAAGTCACACGACTTATTGGTTCTTTCTCAATGCTTGTAGGTTGTTAGATGGGGTCGATCTGTATATGCAAATATTCAGAAATTCATCCAATTCCAGCTTACAGTCAATGTTGCAGCACTAATTATAAATGTCGTGGCAGCGATTTCCTCTGGTGATGTTCCACTAAATGCTGTTCAGGTATTATCACTCTCTCTCTCTCTCTCTCTGTGTGTACACCTGTGGACTCTTTTTCTTGTGCTTGATGCAGCTTCTGTGGGTGAATCTTATCATGGATACTCTTGGAGCACTAGCGTTGGCTACTGAGCCTCCTACAGATCACTTGATGGACAGAAAACCTGTTGGTCGAAAGTAAGTTTCTGTAGTGGTGGCTGCCTTCTAAAAATCAACAAAAAAACGTATCATATCACTGAAAAACTGTTATTTTGTGTTAATCACCAAAAAAGTCTGAATTTTTTTCACTTTAGTTGAAAAAAATAGTTTTTATTCATTTATTTTTCGGTTAAATGTAGCTGTTTTTAAAGTTCCTTAGGGTACAGTATCTCTCTACTCTGGAAAGTAGAAAATATATGAGAAGAAAACTTGATCTTGTTTATGACTACCAAAACTTGGTTAGGATCACAGCTATGGCAGCAAACTTTGTGCCAAATAGGGTTTTCATTAGGTTAAAAGTCCATGTCAAAAAAAGTTGTCACGAATATTCATTCTAGTTACTTGCATTCAGGGGATTGGGAAGGATGCTCCAAATCATATTTAGTATTGTCTCTTGTGCACAGAACATGAGAAACTAATTACTTTCGGATCATTAATTTCAGTTGAGATATAGTTTTACTTTCTTTTCTCTAGTGATTAGGTATATTGTGTTATTGTTTTGAATATGGTGACCTCTAATTGGCCCATATCTATTAAATTTTGATGTCATTAAGCAGACTGACCAAATTTGGATGCCCTATTTGTGTCTCTGATGGTAATAGTAATGCAGTTATGGTTACATTGTTTTGCAGAGAGCCTCTTATAACAAATATAATGTGGAGGAACTTGTTGGTTCAGGTACATGCTTTTTCTGGCGTTTATGTAAACTAATGTATTATTGCTCTTTACTGTGTATTGTCGTGCTACAGAATCTGCCTTGTTTGTATTTTTGATAAGTTGTCATTGAACTCAGGCTTTCTACCAAGTCGTTGTCCTGCTTATCCTCAACTTTCGTGGGATAAGTATACTGCATTTGACACATGATCCCAACAGAGACCATGCTAACAAGCTGAAGAATACACTGATATTCAATACCTTTGTCCTTTGTCAAGTAAGTCATGACTGTTTAATAGAACAGTAACACTTGTTTTTGGTATCCGATATCTGCACATGTATTTATGGTTTTTATTTTTCTTGTAAAATTTTCTAAAAGATCCTTTACTATGATATGAGCAATCTGCTGAAATAACTTGTTTCCCATCTGAATTTCTGCACTAAATTTCTACCAAAGTGAAGTGAAATTGTTGATCTGTAAAAAATGTTTTGTAATTTGTTAGTTCTGTTATAAGGAACTTTGTGTGGATTTGTTTATGTTTTTTACTCGTTGATTGAGTCCGACTAGGGTTTATTCGTTTGTACTTGTAGACGTAACACTTCATGTGTTCTCTTCCAGATTGGATGAGATATGCTACATTATGACTTTAATAAGTAACAATGTTTAACTCGCAGATTTTCAATGAATTCAATGCTCGAAAGCCTGATGAGTTTAATATATTCAAAGGAATTACTAAGAATCGTCTCTTTATGGGAATAGTGGCAATAACACTTGTACTTCAGGTGAGACTTTAATATTTTCATTTTTTCCCATGGGGCTTTGATGAATGTTTAAATTTTTTGACATTTGCTTGCTTTTCTTTAGGTTATGATCGTTGAGTTTCTGGGGAAGTTTACTAAAACAGTCAAACTTGAATGGAATCATTGGCTCATTTCTGTTGTTATTGCCTTTATCAGGTGAGTCCGTACAGATACTATTAGAGTTTGATGTTACAACTTACAACGATATTATTTGCTCCGTAGTTGTCTTCATTTGTTGCTTAACACAACTCTGTTGTCCTTGCAGTTGGCCCCTTGCTGTTGTTGGGAAACTGATACCTGTTCCAGAAACTCCATTATTCAAGTATTTCACAAGAGGATTTCATCGGCGAAGAAAGAGTCCAGAGGTAAGAATGAGGGATGCCTCTTTGTATTTTCCTTTTCCGGGGGATTAAGGCCGAATTATTATGTTCTATGCTTGTGATCACCAATTAATATTCACTTGCTGCTTGTCTTTCAGGTTAGTCAGTAGTAAGCGTGGAGGTGGACAGCAGTTATATCAACAGCTTTCGTAGTTTTCTGTATCTGCATTTTCCCTTTTTTTGGCTAACACGACAAATCATATTTTCACAGAAATCACAAACTAATCTTTTGTTACGTAGGACATATATTTGCAGTAATTCAGCTTTTCAAAGAAGCCATAGTTGGTTTGATCTCTGGTGACCAGAATTCACTTGTGCAGTTTTTATGTACTTAAGAGTGATTTGTGGTTTTATAGTTTGACATGTTTTGGGATGATGGCTTTGTTTATGTGCAAAGAAATATCTCAACCTTGCTTTTCTACTTTTTGGGAAAGTGTAATGGTTTAAATCTCGTTGTATTGCTCTTCTATATTTTTACCGTGTGGTCTTACATGGTGTCATGCGTTTTAAGCCCAGGGCATTTGCTCTTTAAGTGGACTCGGAATGGTTCGCTCATTTTACAATTGTTATGAAATGATTTTTAATCCCCGACGTACAAAGCAAATTTATGAAGTCATAGTTTCTTTTATTTTATATTTTAATTCAAGTAATCATCGCGTATGGAGACTTGAACATGTCTCGAGTGTAGAAATAAATGTTCTTAGTCATTTGAGCTAAAATCTCTTTTAGCATGAATTAATAGAGTTCAGAATCCTTATAATTAAATGCCCCGTTAAAAAATTTAGGACCAGCCGTTTTCATCCTACTCACGGTTGAATAAATTAATTATTACTTTAACCTTCTCTGAAATTGAATCACTTCTACTGGGTATTTGAAGTGAAAAACACCAGGACAATGTAATTCCCATAGAAAAATAAAAAGCATCACGCTTGCATCATTATTCATAAAATATGAACGAAAGATATAAAACTAAAATAGGAGGACGGATACAATCAGGATGTAAGTTCGATAGGCTCTCGTGAAGCAGAAAACGGAAATGGTGCATGGCATTCTCGACAGTTGGAGCACATCTACCAAAATGTATCGGGTAATTCTCATTTTTTCAGGCTCTTGTGAAGTAGACAATGGAAATGGTGCATGGCATTCTCGACAGTTGGAGTGTATCGGCCGATATCATACGCAGGTGATTCAAGACCTCTTTGGACACCTTCACATAGCATGACATCTTCCACCTGCATATTCTCAGCCACCCATTTGTGAATTAGGCCTAGATATTAAGAACCATGTATGAACCTTGCATGTTTTGATTATATACCTGTACTCTTTCACTGTCTTTCAAACTTCTCTCTATAAAATCTTTGTTATCCTGAGAACCAGAAACCAAAAGTAAAAAGAAGTAAAAGATACAAAGCACACCTGGAATCAACATGATGAAAACAATAGGTTTACCGTGGGGTGTGAATCTTAATTCGTTTTTGTGCTGACTCGTTTCTGTCCAGACGAGTGTTCATTACTTGGTTTCTCTAGGTTTCTCAAACTAATGTATAGTTCATGCATGGCATGTAATGCCTTGTAAATAACAGTGATCTTGGCAGACTGCAAGAAAAAGCAAGTACCCCTAAATACTTCAGATAGTAGAACAGAGGAAAACCAATTTATAGTATGACATCTATATGACTTCTCTCAGGGTTTTAAGACACTTGCAAACTTAATTTTGTAGTTAATACAGGCAGGGATTATCCAAAAGTAGAATAAATTAATCTTACCATAAGAGAAGGTTCAATGAAGTAATCAAATATCACTTGACATTTGCTTGGTCCAAGTGGCAGTACTAGATTGGTGTCCATCCATGGTCCATACCTATGAGAAACCTTAAAAAGTTATGTTATTACTTATAAGAATTCATTGTAGAATTAGCTTATAGAAGAAACTAATGCACTGGTCATTTCCACTTCAGTCACTGATCAATTACCTATTAATCATGAAATTAGGATAAACGAAAGCATATAGAGCTTTTGATCCAAGCCGATCATAATCATTTCTTCTTTCTGTTGAGCCACCTTCACACTTTTGAATGGTGACCTTTTCATATATCTGTATAATTAACAACACTAACTAAGATGCAAGGACAAAATCAAACAATTTAAGTCAAGAAAACAGTAATACTGGATGGATATATGCTGCAAGAGTAAAAGCTCTTGACAAAACTCTAAATAAGGAATCCCTTGTTTTGAATGTACTTCAAGAAAAATAAAAATATGTGAAATCCTTGGTACATGAAGATCTTCCAGATACCTTCAGATCTATATATAGCATAATTTTGCAACCCACGTACACATGTCAAGAAAAGTGAAATAAAGAAAGGGAAGCATACTGTGGTAGAGTAATGATCAAGATTAAGACCAGATGCAAGGCCTTTATGTGCATAAGGCACATGATATCCGCCATCTAAGTAGTTGTCACAAAAGACCTGCAACAAGAAATGGATAAAGAGTAATCAGTTGTCATCATCTTAGACATAATAACAGTTATCCATGCTATTTTTGAACAACTGAGCTTTAGTAAAGACTAAATCTTCTTTTGATGTCTTTTGCTGCAAAGAAAAAATAGGGCGCGATATATTTTACTTTCATGACTAGGGGCCATAAAGCTGTTAAAGATTATCATCAGAACAGAGAAAGTACAAATTGAAGTTTCAAAAGAAACTCATCTGGTAAGGAAAAATTGAAAGTGAAATAAGCATGGAACATACCTTCCAGTTACATTCAATCATATAATCACGTCTACAAACAAAACTTAATGAGGAATCGACCCCATTGTTACTCAGTAGTTCTGAAGAGCTGCCAAGCCATTCCTTTTCCACTATGTCTGTATCACTATCAACATCCTGCTCCATATTGAGAAGAACAAACGGGCCCCAAGTAGCTACTTTCACCGATATAAGCCCAAACTCCTACCCTTCATGGCCAGACAAATCAAACAAATTAACCCTCCATTTGGAAGATAATTGTACATCAGCAGGGAATGTGATTGCATCCATAACAATATTACGGCATACATGTTGATTGAAATTTTGTATTCCAGTTATTCTAGTTGCCTTGAGAAGTGCGCCGTCTAACCCATACGTCCATCCCTGCAATTGGGTTTTGCATGCGTAAGTAATCGAGAGGTAATAATTAATCTCTTTTCCCTACCATATGAGATATTTATAAAGAAATCATGAACAGATTTTTTAACAAAACTAGCAAAGTTTTACCCCTTCTTTCCAATTAGCAGTCCTTCAACTTTAAAAGGCAATAGCAAAAAAGCATATGACCTAGGAACCAACCTACGCAATCTTAATTCTTGGTACAATTGAAAAGTTCTAAAATTTCATAAATGATATTCATGGGTATTGGGAATTGTAAAATAATAATAAACACAAGGTAATTATTCTGTAGCTAATCAGTCAAGAGGGACAAAAATTTAAAAAGACTAATTCCTCTATCAATGTAATTTAGTTACTTAAGTAGATGCTTGGACTAATGTACATGTAGCAAGCAATTAGCAATGTCATAAGTAAACTCACATGATAAGGGCACACAAAGCACGACTTGCGGCCGCTTCCATATGCAAGAAGTGAGGCATGATGTCGACATACATTGTGGAAAGCTTGAAGCTTGCCATCACCATCTCGGCACACAACAAACTCTGCGTTTCCCAATCTGCTAGTTAAGTAACTAAATCAAAACCCCAAAACCAAAAACCACAAAAACCAAACAGAGCTTAACTAATTACAAGTCAAAAGCTTCCACCTGCAAGTGAAAAACTCCCCGGGATTTTTTATCTGTTCAGTGTATCCTGAAATTCAACAACCATTCAAAAGCTCATAACTATTTTCTCCAATCATTTTCCTGCCGTTTTTCTCAGCGACCAAACAGAGATAACAAGTAAATTAAATAGAAGCTGACCTGCACCCTGCCATCCACGGTAGAAGAGGGTGTCGAGTTCGAGAGAGTAAAAGGAAGGATCGGTGTACCATGAGCTGGGTGGAGTTACGGCTCGCTCTAAGGGGATTGTTGGGTCGAATTGACCCACCAGAGTTGGCGCTCCGATTGATGAGACTTGAGGGTTGTGGAGAGAAGAGGCCTTGAAGTTGAAGACTCTTCTTGGGTTTGGAAGAAGGTAAGGGCTTTTGGGTCGAAGAGATTTGGGTTGGAGAGTTGCCACATTCATCACAGTCATCGCCATCTCCATGGCTTAGAAAGCTCCGCGAGCTCAGCCAGGTGCTTCGGTGGTTGTGCTTTGAGTTATTTTATTTTGAATGTGTGTCCCAAGGTACCCATTTGTTCGTTTGAAAAAGGACAAACATTTGTTCCCTTTAGTTTCGATTAGATATTGTTTTCAATTGTTTCTATTAGGAGTGGGCACAGTCCGGTTTGGTCCGGTTTCATCCTCAAACCACAGCTGAACTAATTAAAGTTTCACGGTTCGGTGTGGTTCAGTTTGAGCTAAAATCAAAATGAAAACCAAACCAAACCAAACCATTCATATCCGGTTTGGTGCGGTTTGGTTCGGCCGGTTTAGGCATAAAAGAAAACATCATTTTCTCCATGTAACCGAACATGTTCATTCTCAAGTTTCCTAATATCAAACACATAAAACATTCACTAATCATACAACCCAAAGAGGTAAAGAAAAAACAGAAGAAAGAAAACAAGCTGCAAGCAATAATAATTATTACAGAACATGATTCTCAAAGAAATACAATCCTATTGTGCTTAATTATATAGTTATTACAAATCATGATTTAAAAAACAGTGAATCCTTCCAAACAGCAGCTCCATCAGATTCAACACAACATTCTGCACGTCAAAACAGTAAAATAAAACTTCTCTCCCTCTGCTGACATTCTCATTCTGCAAATAAAAACAACAATAATGAGTTTCATAAGAGTATTGTATGACACAAGCTCTGTTTCTTAAGAATACTAGTCCAGCAACATAAACACATAGCATATTACTCATTTTATCTCCTTATGGAACGTAGAGATGAATCTGAGCCCTACAATAACAAACCAACCCAAACTGAAGGCGAGTTACTGGACTAAAGAGGTCCACTCTGATGCATTAAGAGAAATAATAAATGCATTTCCTCTGGCATCAAATGAAAGCTGCATAGACTCTGTTGAAACCCCAAAAACATTTGCACTGCAGTAGAATACAAGGATCAATAAAAAAAAACATAGGTGTATCCATTCCCAATTTTCACTACATTAAGGATCATGCCAAATCAACTCAAAAAGTCACATAAACAGGAACAAACAGGTAAAAATTGTTGAGTCCAAAGATTATTCTCTGCATAACATTTAGATATAGATTGCAGGGATTCTGCGCCTCTTTAACTTAGGTGACTGGGAATGGAAAGAGCGCTCTCCATTTTCCATGGGCAATTGTCCCAATCTTACATCAGAATGACTACCATTAAGTGAAGCAATTGTTCTCAACAACTCCAAATGTTGCATTGCCTCTACGACCCCCATTCCAACTCTGAAACCAATGTAGTGAAATGCTCAAAAACCTAAAACCATAGTAATCATTAGGAACACTACGTTAACTATGCAAACAACTCAATATTGATGCATAAGATAATCTAGTTCATTTTCCCACTACTTTCTCAGTACCCAAACAGAAACCAAAATCCAAGGAACCCAATCTAATTTACAGATTGAAATAATCAGATGAAAAAATAAAAAATACCTGAATATCTTCTTCGAGTATGAATAGTTTCAAAGCGTCCAGCTGAAATAGAAAATTCATATATCAACGAGATGACGATGAACACACATAATTGATGGCTCCTTGTTTCAATTTACTGGCAGGACCATTTCCTTCTGCTGCAAAGAATAGCAAAATCACAATAATTAAAAGCTCTGATGACAAATAAATTACAACTAGAAATTGAAGATGGAAACTACTCCACAATTGACTCAGAATTCAACTCCCCTAGCTTTTGTTGTATTATCTCAGCAGCCAAACACAAGCTCAAGCTCTCACAGAACATAAACCAGAAGACATTGATCGAAAATCAACATTCAAAATCAAAAACTCACAAAGTGAAAGCACGCGGGAAGGCTTGTGAGCAGGCATATCTTCTTCCCCGGGAAGTTCTTTACCGCCCAAAGCAGCGTCGTTTCGCTCTCCTTCACGTCCTTCCCCACCGCAACGACGAGATGACATAAATTGCTTTTAGCTGCCAGAAGCAACAACCTACTGCCCTCTCGAACGACGATTGACGGCTAGGGGCGGGAGAGGTAGAGGTGGAGTGTAGAGCAGAGAGACAGAGAGAGAGAGAGTGATGATGAGAGGGAGTTGCGGCTAGGGTTGAAACGAAGGAAGAAGAGAGAGAGGCTCAAGAGAGAGAATGGAGTCTGTGAGTATTAGTTTTGGAGTCCAATCAGGTGTGCTAAGGTACATGGTACACTTTCAACTAACCACTCAAGCCTTGCCACATGTAAATTAAATTAAACAAATAATAAATTGATTTATAATCGGTCCGGTTTGGTTTAGGACAGTTTTCAAAACTCCCAAACCGCAGCCGAACCAAACCAAACCGGTTCGGATCGGTTTTTGAAACTGTTGACTTTTTCTTTGGTCAAAACCAAACCAAACCAAACCAATATAATCGGTTCGGCCGGTGTAACCGGATCGGCCGGATTGATGCCCACCCCTAGTTTCTATGGTTTATAATCGATTGTAATTAAGTGCTAAATGAAAACATTAAGAAATAAAGTGTAACATGAGGTAATCAATTATCTTTTAGGGCTTTTCTTTAGGAAGTACTTCTTTTTATAAGCACTTTTAAGAAGCGCTCGTTTGGGAGTAATTCTAGATAGGTCAGAATCACTTCTGGGGAGAACAACTTCCTATGTGATTTTCCATATAATCACTTTAAGTGATTTTAAGTGATCCTGAGCAAAAGCACCTTCCATGCACTTCTCCATAAAATTACTTAAAAACGCTTAAAGTGATTATTTGGAGAAGTAATTCTTCATAGAGTGCTTTTTGGTCTATCCAGAATCACAACCAAACAAGTCTTACATGCAACTTTATCTTTTCCGAGATTAAATTCATTATTATATAAATAAATAAATAAATGCCACACGAACTATAGTAGATGAGGCCTTATGTCTAACTAAGTCTTTGATTTGGCCTATTTTTGAAGTTTTCACAAGCAAGTGGTAAATTTTAGACATTACTGGATAATTCAACTCAAACAAGTTGAATAAGTTCTTCATTTTGGTAATTATAAAACTTAATAGTTTTGTTACAGGCATAATTTCATGTACGTAAGGGTACAAGTTCATCATATACATATCATGATATATAGTATACCTACAAGGTTTATACAGTAGGCATTGATTTTGAGGGTTTAATTCAAACTATGCAGTGGGGTAAGAGGCTTCCATAGCAATGCCACAAAGACCTTCCTTTGCCTCAATACCTCTTTGCATTCTTATGTATCCTTTTTCACCCCATTCTGTTCCCCATGAGTTCTTCACCAACCAATACTTGGTCCCATCAGCACTGACTCCATAACCAACAGCGGTAACACCGTGATCAAGACTTGTTCCACAAGCTCCTGTAAAGACACCACTTGAATAGAATTGAAAATCAGAACCTCCAGCATCAATGGCAACTGAAATAGGTTGATTAGCAACAGCCTTAAGAAGGGCAGCTTCACTGTTTGCAGGCACATCTTCGTGGCCAGTTATCTTGGCAGCATGGCTAGCCTCCTTCTTGGTGTTGCAAGTACCATCAACACCTGTGTAGGGGTAATTTGTCTCGGTACTAAGCCCATGATTTTGATTGATGAATTGAAATGCATCGTCCATCAAGCCACCCTCACAACCTTGGTCTACACCTTTGGTGTCACAATCAACCAACTCTTGCTCAGATAAAGAGATTAGGTTACCAGTTGTAAGCTTAGTAATTCCTTCCATGGATGCCACTGCTGAAAAAGCCCAACAACATCCTACAATTTTTTTTTTTATTGCAATTAAAAACCAATTAGATTAATAACAATATGATTGAATTAATTTTCAAAAGGAAAGTAGTGTTTAAGATATCTAGATGAAAATTACCACATTGGCCTTGGTCTTTGATAGGCGTCACAGCTCCTTCTGTTCTCCAATCTACAGTAGGAGGGGCTGTAACATTTTCATATTTGAAAGTAGTTGTCTTTGTGGAACATTCATGCCCCAAGAATCCATTTCTAGAGGCTTTGAATTCTTCATTTGTAAGGTCTGCAAATTGATTGACACTCAATTTATAAGGTTTGTTTGCATCGCTATTGGATGATTGTATGAATGCCACATTTTCCTTGAATATCTTGAAACGCATCTCTTTCTCTTGAATGTTGGTATATACACGTCCGTAGCGAGCCATCCATTGTTCGTATTTTCCATACATTGATGCATCTTGGAGATTGCGAGAAGTGGCTTGAGAAGACCAAGCCCCCAACATGAAGATCAAGGCCAAACAGATACATTTGCAGTAGTACTGGTTAATAAACTCCATGGCAGTTGACACTGGAAGCAGCTAGATTTGATAAAAGTAAATGAATTGAAGAGTTGGTATGCACTGAAATGGTACACTTCTTCACAGTTAATATAGAGAATAGATCGATGGCCTTGCTATCATCGTGCCCCAAAAGTTGGTTTGCAATCTTCGTGCCCAAGCAAATGTTCTGATGTGAATCCGTCAGGTTGGCTCATATGACTATTAATTCAATTTGATGTCACGATAATTTACTGGAAAACCATTTGTCCTCATGTGATTATGGACCCTAAATTTTATGGGTCAAATCAAAACACATATTTTCTTCATACAAAATGCTAATACTTTGTTTTATATGCAGAATTTATTAAACTGTAGTTCCAAACCTCACGGACCTTTTTAAAATTCTGTCTTGCAGTTTGGCAATGCTTTTGCAAAATTTGGGAATTGTTCTTCTGTTTTTGTGCTGGCTATAGTTTTTTTCTTCTTCTTGATTTGGCTATAATTAGGTTTTTAAAAAAAAGAAAGAAAGGAGAAAAAGTTGAGCTCTTTTTAAGCATTTTCCGTATCACTTAAAATTGTTTAAGACAAAATTACTAGTTAGTTCTCTCATAGAAACCATTACTTTTTTGTTTTCTTTTTCTTTTTCATAATTTAGAAAAAGAAAGTTACTTGAGAAACTTAAATGAGTACTAACCCTTGAACTGAAGAAGAGGAACAATGCAAAATAACTATCCATCTCTTATCAATTTGTGGCTTTCTTTGAGCATTTCTCTCAGTGTTTTTAGCTATCA